CACGTTCAGGCCTCGCAACGAAATGGAGACAGGCGTAACAAAAAAGCTACAAAAAATGAGCTGGGTCCGGGCTGGTGCCGCTACAAATATCCGCTAAGCTAGCGGATCCACGCTTTTCTCAGGTTCAGTACAAGCTACAAAAGGGAGACTAGCGTAACAAAAAAGCTACAAAAAAGTTACGAAAAACCAGCTGGGTCTGAATCTGTGCCGCTACTATGGAATTTATGGAAATTCAAGCTAGCGGATCCGCTGTTTTTTCGGACCTGGGCAAAGCTACAAATTCGCAAATAGCGTAACAAAAAAGCTACAAAAAACCCACCAAGTCTTGTATGGTGCCGCCAGAGAGTGCCCGCTAGCTTGATAGAGCCGCGGCATACTTATGAATAAATTTTTTTTCATTACTAGCAGTACTGGCAACACTGCTAAATTTATCTATCATCCGTCAACTCGTCGTCGAATGATATGTCAATTATGTCATGTCCATGTCATATCCTCGAACTAGAGATGGGTAAAGCAAGCTATTTTTCAGAAGCAGTGACAACCGCTTCTGCTACAACAAAAAAGTAGTGACAAAATACTGCTATTTTGTGGAGCAGCTTTTAGATAATTTTCATATTTCACACATGGCGATAACGAAACGTTTTTTATGGCTATCTGTGTTTGGTAAAATTGTTCTATCTATAAATTATTGATTATAGAGTTAATAATTTCGTATAAAACACATTTAATTATTTTCTTTTCTTGAATATTGGTTAGAACTTATCAAATGGACCTTACAGCCAGGGAAAAAGTAAATAAGAAGATGATTGATATTATTAATTTTGTCTTTAGTTACATCGGGGATTCACACTTATTGAGTTACTACTTAAATATTAACATTTTGCATTCTGTTTCTATTTCAACAAAAGTGTTTCTAATTTTTGAATGCCATTTTTTTATATTGAATATGAATAGACAAAATAAGTCTATAAAAAAAGAATTTAAAAAAAATAAGAATGTATATCGTTTTCCTTTTTTCTCGGAACCTGCTCCGAAAAGTAACAACTTTTCGGTGAGTCGTGGAACACTTTGCTCCAGTGACAAGTGAAAAGCAGTGACAAAACCTGCTACTGTGAAATAGCAACCCATCTCTACCTCGAACATCAACAAACTAACAAAAAAAATCAAAATTCGGAAGTAGCCTGACTGTATGCTTTTTCATAATTAGGTATTTCTAATCTGTAATTTGGGTATTAAATAAATAGGTATCATAAATTGTTTATTTGGACTTTGTTATGGCCATTTGTTGGTTCTAGAATGACAGGATCGGATGTTTTTTGTAAGTATACTGGGTATCATAATATAATTCTGTCATATAGTTAATAAGGATATACCAAGAATACCAAGTTTGGTTTCAATATCTCGACCCGAACTGCCCTAGTCCCAAGAGCAGAACCCCAACGATATTTTGGACATTGAAAATTTTTTGGAACAAATAGATTTGATTTGCAACGTTTTTGTATAAAAATCTTCAGACTTTTCAAATATTCTTTTAATGTCAGAATATTGATACTTTTTTGTGAGGAACTTTGACAAGTATGTAATTACTTTCCTTGTAAGCAGTAAGGTCTATATCTTCAAAATCAAGTTCATTTCCAAATTCTTTTAAAGATATATCTTCGAGACATCCTCCAGATTCAGTTCATAATTTGCTGTCTGATGAACAGGCATGTTTGTCACTTAAAGCTAGAAACGTTGATGTCACAAAACACCCACTTTTGTTGTTTGTGCCAATCATCCACCATTTAAAATAACGTGATTTGGATTGCCTAATTAGACAAAAATTACAAAAGTGAACGTTTTGTGACATTTCTAATGAGATTAGTCTTAGTGTGTGTATTATTTTTTTCGAGTTTTTAGTGTGCCTATTTAATTAAAACAAAAAATCTGATGTGTCCAACACATGACTTTCCTATCTAGTTATTATAGGCTTTTTCCAGTAATTTTGTACAACCTATTGCAGCACCTCTATAAATGTTTAGAGGATAAACTAAATATATACATTTTCCACATACATCTACCTCGAAACATCTATAGATATTCATTGAAAACGAAAATACAGAAAAATTTAAATTTAGCACTTTTCCTACAATTTTTCCATTACGGTACATTTTAGAAAAATCATGTATAAACAAAAATTATAGAGATCGATATCGCAAACAACTTTTAGTTCAACAATTTTCATAAAAATCAGAATTTTGCACATTTTATCAAATTTCTCGAATACGGACCATTTCAGGAAATTTTGACATAAACCAAAAATTATAGATAATAATATTAGAAGTAACTTTTATTTGAACAATTTTCTTCTCCAAACATAATTAACATATTCTATAAAATATAAAAACGGCCTCCCATAAAGTAGCCGCCAGATGTTCCGACTTTTTTCAAAATCTAATCATTTCACGTCAGGCCGAAATAAAATGTTTTTGTCTTTATCCGTTTTTGAGTTTTCTTCAAAATTCGAAATTACACATTTTCTCAAATATCTCGAATACGGTCCATTTTAGAGAAATTATGTATAGGATAAAAATTATAGAGAATTATATTACAAACAACTTTTATTTGAACAATTTTTATAAAAAAAATTATAGATAATATTAGAAGTAACTTTTATTTGAAGAATTTTCTTCTCCAAACGTAAATAACATATATTCCATAAAATATAAAAATGACCACCTATAAAGTAACCCCCCAGATGTTCCGACTCTGTCCAAAATCTAATCAGTTCATTGGACGGTGGAATAAAGCTTAAGTTTAAAATTTGGTGTTTTTCTGTGTATCGGTTCATGAGTTATGGTGGATACAGACACACACACAGACATCATCGCGAAAATAGTCAAAACGGATTCAGGGGACCTCAAAACGTAAAAATCCGTCGAAAATCGAGGTCGAAAAAAATCATTATTCCTATACTTTCCTTATATCTGTATACAGATAGGAAAGTAAAAATCATTAAGAATATGAGTATTTTGCTCTCCTGGTTCCTCTGGCTTCTTTCCAAAACACTCTTTTTCCTACCTTTTTATATTCAGCTCTCTTAAACCTTTCATATTTTAATAATCTTTATTTCATTTCAATTTAACATTTACAAATTACATCTCTTTTATAAATGTTTTAACCTTCTTACAATTCTTGTGTAGTACGATTTGACAAATTTTGATGCCATCATTTATTTTTATATCAAATCCGCCCTCTGGCGTAGCCCATGGAGAATCTTCGCGTTACCGTTTCCGCCATAGTATTTGTTTTATTCACTTTTTTTTAATAAAAACAATTTTATCTGAAATATTTTACTTTGTTGATGATGGAATCCCCCATAGTTCTCAGAAATCCCTCCCTTGAAAAATGTCTGACTACACCACTAAATTCCCCTAAATTCTTTTTCAGTCAGTATATTCCTCAAATATAATGTGAACAATGTCTTATTTGGACATACACGAGCTAGATTTGATACGATTGAATTGTTTCAAAAGTTTTCATTTTACAGGTAGTGATTCTGAACTCCTTAGATTAAAAACTTTATATAAGGAACAATCCAAAAAACTTAAACGCTTATATACCCAAAACCGCAGGCTTGAGATAAGATACAAATATTATTCGAATTTAAAACGGATACAGGAAAGGGAGAATGATAAAAATGTGCAAATAAATAATCAAGAACAAGTCAACAATGAAGAACAATTAAATGATGAAGAACAAGACAACAATGAAGAACTAAACGATGGAGAACATCTAAATGATGAAGAAATAATAAATTTAGAAGAACAAACCAGTAATGAAACTATGTAAGCAGTATTACAAGTCAATTTTAATTTTTTCACAACAAAAATATTGAGAAAGTGAATAATAATAATTAAAAAAACATTTTACAATTATTTTTTCCTATCCAGTCTTGGAAAAATCTGATTTAATAATTGAAATTATTAATAAATAAAAACAATATGTAGGATTTAGGATAAAGAGCTCAAATTAATCAGAATATCATCTCAGTGGTCTTTTAATTTTTCTTACGATTCTATTATACCCCATATTTTTTTCACTAATGCTAGTCTAGTGGACACATTTTAGTAATTTTTTTTATAAAATGACAAAAACAGAATGCACATGGGAAATACCTTTGGCTTTCCAAGTAGTCGCCACAAGACACGTTTTCAGAATTGCTGTCACATGGCCCTGAACATCCTTGACGTCCACAAACCGAGATCCATTCAACTTCTTAAGATGAGGAAACAAAAAAGTCAGCAGGAGCAAAATCTGGAGAGTAGGGTGGGTGTTCCAAAACTGTCACATCACGCTGAGTCAAAAATTTGTGTAAAATGGTTTGTTGTGGTGCATTGTCTAGCAGTAACTACAATTTCGGGCCTGGATCATCTGTGGCCTAACGCGTCGGATGAGACAAAAAACGTTTGAAAACCTCCAAGTAGAATGTGGCATTCACCGATTGGCCAGGCAGAGATGAATTCTTATAGATGATTCTTTCTTTGTCAAAAAATGCGGCTCTTTGTCGCAGGGAAGGTGGCCGCCATTCCTTTGATTGTCTTTTCCAATTTGAAGTAGAACTTAACAATGTGTCATTGCTTCATGGTTTTTTCGACGTGCACTGCTTGGAATACTGTGTTGAAATAAATGTAATAATACTACTGATGCTGTGGCAACCTAACGCAATCTCCGACAAGGACAGCTCCAGACATGTTCATGCATGCGAGCGACCTTATTTTAAGCGTGAATGCCGACATAGACCATTCATGGAATTTTATAGATACACCTCGTATATTTTAACCCAACACCTCGTAGATCTTAACCCAAAAGTTTGTAGATAAAAAAAAAACAGGAAATTATTATTGTTAAACGTAGAGATGAAGCTATAAGGAATAATTAATTGTCCATTTTCTTTTTATACATTTTTTGATATTTTAAACAAAAATTAGAAATCATATACGTTTTATTATTTAGAAATATACATTTTATTAATTAGAAATCACATACAAAATAAAAAATAGATAATACTATCACAGCAATACAAAATATTCTTTAACATTAACCCGTCCTTCATTTACTTCCACAATAACATCACATTATTGTCCCGTTCTAATTGATCTTCCAACTGTTGGGAGGCAACCCCTATAGAACAACAAAGTTCATCAAGGCTGGCTGCACCTGAAAGACTCTTATGTAAATCTGAATATTCTGCTACGATTACTGGGTATTTCTGTACTCTTCGAATTATTCCTTCGAGAACGCCAAACTGTACCAATTTTCTTTCATTGATCCTGAGATTACTCGGATTAAATCTAACGCAGAGATCTCGAATTGTAGTACCTCTAGTCATGGCGGCGTACATTCGAAACACGTCTCGTATGGCTGGTAGTTGCCTTGGGTTTTTTGCAACATAATTTAAACATTTTTGCTGAAAAGCAAAATAGTTTATTAATTAAACGAAATATTAAAAAAGTATATTTTAAGATGAATGGGACTATTAAAAAAACACGGTTCAAATGTACAATTTTAATTTTGTTGTACAAAGCGGCGAGCCTTAGCAAAGAATAAACTTTACATCAGCTTTTTTTTTATCTCCGTAAGAATTGTTTACTGAAAGGTTAAATTTGTAAGGACGTTCGGAGCGTTACAAACGTGTTTCTCTAATTTTAAGATATTTTTGACGACGAAAACACGGCCAATGCGTAGCCCGAACTCACCTTCTGAAAGATAAGTTTAGACCTCGGTCTAGACCTACACCATCAAGGAAGGACAGTTAGGTCTAGATGTGATCCATACGTGATCTAGGGGGTTATGATTGACAACCTGTGTTATTTTTAACAGGTCTGTTATTTTATAAACACACTTATTAAAGGGTTATGATGGACAAGTAATGTTATTATTAACAGACACGTTATTTGTGAACAGGTTGTTATTTCTGTGTGTTTATAAAATAACAGACCTGTTAAAAATAACACAGGTTATCAATCATAACCCCCAGAAATTACAACCTGTTCACAAATAACGTGTCTGTTAAAAATAACATTACTTGTCGATCATAACCTCATTAGACAGTGTTTCCGTGGTTGGAAAAATACCCATCTTTTATTAAACTTTCTTCATTCTTCAAAATTTTTCAAGTTTTAATTTTTTTCTTGCATCAAATTCTGATTGCAAACAGCGATTTTAGGCTGTCGTTGTCAAAGTGTTGAAATATTTATACAAGTAAATTTAATTGCCCATTTTTTTAAAAGAGTAAGAAAACGAAACGGAAGATTTATGTAGAAGAAAGTGAAGAATTAAAAAAAATTGTCAGATTCACCTACAAAATTACCTATATCTTCGGAATAAGTATCATCCCTAACATAAAAAGTTAAAATAAAAAACATAAATACCTAATGCAACAAAATAATTGTATTTTGTGAAGTTCAATTTTATTTGAATGTATGATTTTTATTATATTTAAATATTACACGTAAAAGATACGATATACCTGCCCACACAATACATGTGTTTACCTTAGGTATCGCCCTACTCGAAAATCTCGGTTTCCGTCGAGACGATATCTATAGTCATAGATTACTTGAATAGATGGGAAACTCAATGGTAAAATTATGAGTCGATGTGCTGCCATCTATCAAATTGGAGTGGTACTAAAATTCAATATGGCCGCCACGAGCGGGCTTTTTGAAATTTAACTTTGTAGTAGCGCAAAAATGTAATAAAGAAAATCAAATAAAGCAAAAAAATTGGAAAAATATTTGACTAGTTTTAAATCATAAAACAACCATATTGACTGACTTTTATCTTTATTTGATTTTACTTCATTATATTTTTGCATTAATTTCAAACTTGAAATAAAATGCAATTTATTTTATTTTATTTATTACAGTAAATTAACGCCGCATCATATAATTTGTCTATTTAAACATGGAAATACTCAAACAAATATGCATTTACACCATTTAAATCTATGATTTAAATAATTAATTATTTATAAAACAAACCTATCAAAAATGTTTTCTGTAACAAAATCAGCATATATAAGTGCTCAAGACCTTTATAAAAGTTTTGCGACTTTGAGTGGCAAATAAGTTTGAAAAAATTGAGGTTGAAGCATCCATCATCCTTTTTTACTATCGAAGCAAATTTGAGTGTGGATAAAATTTGCCATACGGTTATTGAGTTGACTAGTTAGGTTGAGGAGCATTTCTTCATCCGATAATTGTTTTCTTGATTCGTTTATACAGCACTTGTAGTTATCAAATTTTTATTCATCATGTGGGCAGGGTGATAAATAAATTTAACTTTTGAGCATAAATTAAACTTACACGCGTTTGGAACCTTGAAGATTTTAGGGTGTTTTCTTGTTTGATGTCAATGGCATTGAATCAATTTTTGATATTGATGGCTGAGGCTCAAATATTTCATCGATCGACAGGGTATTTTGGAGGGCCAACATTTTCTTTAAGAAATGATCATTTAAAAACTGAAAACAAAAAGAAATTTAAATAACAAACCAATTATTTTTACACTGAATCAAATACAAGTTTGTAAATATTACTTACCGTTGGTACAGTGATGGTGCATTTTTCCTAAGACACTTATTACAATTTGGGGGACGACTGCATATTTAATGTGGTATAAATTGCATTACTACCAATATCTTCCCATATTTTGAAAACATGCTTAAAATTGGAAGGTGTTGAAAAATAAATCTAGATTCTAGATGAATCAAAATTCAATACACCTTCAAATACAACAGCCATTTTATTTTATCTGAGTTTGAAGTTTTGACGAGCTGACAACTGACATGACAGTTCGATATGAGCGCCATCCCGTTAATTGGAGTGGTACTAAATTACCAGCCTCATGTTTTTCCATTTGAGTTACCAGCCCCTGTCTATAGTGTTGTAACTTGACGTCGAGTGACTCGAGTGAGTCGATACCAAACAGAATCCCAATGCTGATTATATATGAGTATCGAATCGTAGATACGGCGGTTAAAAATTGAAGAAATTTATACAAAATTAACGGATTTATACGAGATTCCTGCTTCTTAATGTGTATTTACTTTCTTTTTAATTTATCTCTTCATCTCATGTTTGTTGATGATTTAAACGGATTGTCCCATTGGTGTGATGTAAATATGTTGTGCTTAAACCGAAGCATTGCCAACTCAAAGGACACCTTAGTAAACTTAGACTAGTAGAAGATAGTGAAATTCTGTGAGAAGGATGAAACCTCCATTCAAATTCTAGAAGGGTCATTATAGACGTCGCGACGATTCTCTTGATGGCTTAGCGATATAAAGGGCACAATAGATCTTGTATCCGACGCTCTGTAACAACAGAAGATAATTAAAAATGAAAAGGTAGAGAAGAAAAAGATCCTTTGAATCTCACAATGATATGTATTTTAATGCAACCGGTTTCGAAGTTTATTACTTTATCTTCTGGCACGCTTAGTGAGTAAGTGAAAAAAATTAGTGAATTTCTATTGGTAACATGAAACAATAATTTAGTTTTAAAAATTATTAACAATACTAATCCACTAATAATACTAACATGTATTTATTATACTAAAAAAAGTTAACCATATTAATATACTAACTAGAAGTAGGTTAACTGAAGCGATTGCTATATGTAAGAAGAAATAATTGAAACAAATAAGAAATAGAAAAAATCATATTCTCTTATGTATCCTCTAAAAGATAAACTACAAATTACAAGAAATATGAAAGCGAAAACCCTGTTGTTACATACATCTGGTATTCTTGTCAGGGTTAAAATAATTTAAAATTAAATGTTACAAGATAAAAATTATTTTAAAATGTTGAACCAAAATTAAACAAATTAACTAAATAAATTGTTATACATGTGTTTTAAGGCAAGACCAAATGGTTCCTAAAACAGCTCATAAAATTTGAACATTTGAATTGGGAAAACTGACAATTTTTTTAAGGGGGTGCCCTCTAGTAGAGAGTGGCTAAAATTGTAGTTTATGATAAAAGGTACTTCTATCAAGTTATTGACTATGGACATTGTATCAAGAACTAATAGTAGTCTCACCTTATGGAAGTTCAATTGGAGCGAAATGGATACTACAAATAGATGGCGCTAGTGAATTTGGATAAGTCGATATTAGTTTGCAGTCGCTTGTTTTGAAGTGGGCGGAGTTGAGGGTCCAGCTGAAATTTTTGCGGTTGACGGAGACCGATGGGTTTCTATTTTTAGCTCTTAGATGAAATTTTATTCACTCCTGATTCATTGTTTGGACTATTTTCTAGGTAAACGGTTTATATTGTGTGTTAGTGCTTTTACGGGTAGTAGTTATTGTTAATTAGTTGTGTTTATTTTTTATTACTGAATTATTTTACTGTTAATAAAGGACGAGTTCCCAACAAGAGTACATGATTTATATAAAAAAAATTAAATTATAGTCTAAATAAGTTTTTGGAAAGTGTCAAAAATGTTTACCGAATTCAGTAAAATGATGCTGAAAAATTAAAATATTATAGCCATTATTAATTTTTGAATTTTCAACTTTAACACCCTGCATTTCGAAAACGGTACCTAATTTTTTTAAGCATATTTCGTTTAATCGATTTATTTTTAATCGGAGAATCTTCAGTTGTACCCCTTTCTTAATTGATATATGTTATGATAAATTAGTTAACCATTAATTATTGTTTTAAAATTAGAATTAAACATTTGTGTATTTATATAGTCTAGTTAACAAGTGCTTTTTGGGTCAAACTTTTTTCTTCTCCTAAAAATATGAACGATGTGTTATTCGATTCGAAATAGCGTGAAGATGATTTTTGAAAAAATTCAAGAGTCGCTTGCAAAAATTGCAAAAGTTATAAACAACTGAAAAAAAAATTAGGTTTGGTTTTTTGAAAATATCTCAAAAATTATTTGACATTTTCCAAATTTGAAAAAAGATTCAAAAAGAAGAGGAAATTTCCTCAAAAAAAGTTTTTCACCCGCAACTGTAGGACCAATATTTATAATTTTCCCAGAGGGTTGAAAATACGGCCGAAAACGGAGACTTTGGTTTACGTAAGCTTCGCCCACTGTGGACCTTTACTGAATAAATATTATTTAAACTTATTAAATATGAAAATTACGAATTTAAAAAATTTAAGCATCTACTGGATAGATGAGTGAACAATAATCCGCTGTCAAAAAAATTTTACCGCGATTTTTCTATTAATTACTTGCAAGTGCGATAATTGTTTAATAACAATTCTGAGACTTTTTTCTTTTTTGGGGCAATTTTTCAACGGATTCCCATTAGAAAAATTAAAAAATTGTTATTTTTCACTTTGTTATTAACAATTTTCTTAGGTTAAAAATTAAAAAGCTTCATTAATAATTGAAAAAAAAAATTCTTTTATATATTACTATTGATCAGTTTTTTATCATC